GAATGACTTCTGTTGTTAGAACTGAACAGCCAGATTATCTGCATATATAATTTTCCAGGACTTTTCAAGGTTTCTAGGACTTGCACGAACCCTGTAATAAATGTCTAGAAGACAAATACCACTATTTTCAGCATCTCTTGATTGTCATGTCAAAAGGTAACTTGTGTTAATCTTGTGAAAGGCTGAATAAATTTAGTATTATAATATCTATATATATATATATATATATATATATATATATATATATATATATATATATAAACTTAGTGAAGCCAGACAAACCTACCCAGGTTTCACCTAATCTGACGATCCGCTTAGGTGAAACCTGGGTAGGTTTGTCTGGCTCGCTAGGTTTATCTAGGTCTGCTCTACGATTGTATTGAGCTCTTTTGTTAGTTAGTTGTTTACTCGTGTCGAGGTTTTTTTCTTTGGGCTTCAAACCTGTATCTGTGCAATTTTTTTCGACAGACTTTCATGTTTCTAGCTCTTTCTTTTTTTTTTTTTAAACCTTCCCCCCCCTCCAGATTGATTTGATTATTGGCAAATCAAAAATTCGAAGGTTTTTCAAAACAAATATAGTTACCTGTATTTATATATATATATGAAAATTTCTCAGAGTTAACCTGTAGAAAAGACAATATTTATAAATATAAATGACAATAGGAAAACTGTACATTATTTACATTATTCGGACTATTGTCCTCATCTTTGTTACCATATTTATTACAATGTCTCTTTCCCCCCCCCCGCCTCGAGATTGATTTCATTATTGGCAAATCAAAAATTCGAAGGTTTTTCAAATCAAGTATAGTTACCTATATTTGTATTTATTTTATATATATATATATATATATATATATATATATATATGAATGAAAATGTGAAACTGAACCCTTTATTTCGCTCGCTGGGGTAGACTGTTCTAGTTCCACGTGCCATGTTTGATGGATGTCAGTTATCAGTTATTTCCTGTTAATTTCCCTCTGAAAGTTCTCCACTGCCTTAACCAGGTATTGAACTCACACTGTTTGGGTCCTGTCACTGGATCTAACCAACGCCTTTATCCACTGTGCCACATGTCCTTGAGGACATCTAGGTATGAATCAGAGGCCAATTAGGAGTCAGATACAGATTGGCCTCTGACTCTTCCCTAGAAGAACGGACCAGTATTCCAATAGATAATCTGATGGAGATGTTGACTTTCTGTACACAAACACACGGCCAAAACGTTGTAATAAATATGGTGACAAAGATGAGGACAATAGTCCGAATAATGTAAATAGTGTACATAATACCTCATCTCAGAAATATAGACAGAGTCTGAAGAAAAACTGTAGTTATTGCTGATACGTTTCGTCCAATGTGGACTTTCTCAAAACACGTCAGCAATAACTAGTTTTCCTATAGTCATTTATATATATATATATATATATATATATATATATAATCCAATTTCATGTCTAATGTGACTCTCTAATTTTAACAATCGAGAAAAAGTTACATGTGATTAGAACAACTGGTCACTAAAATAAAATAACATGCCTTCATATTCTTTCTCCCTTTCTTTCACATCACCTAGACAAGAAAATACATTAGTAACCAAGAGGTCATGAACTCGTTCTAATCAAGGAAACAAACCACCATTCACAATAATTGCCAAATATTACTGATGACTCAAAAAAAAAAAAAAAAATCACATTTTTTTTAAGTGTCAATTTTAACTTGTAAAAAAAAAAAAAAAAAAAAAGCCAGATTTCTGGCATTTGCTATTTTTGACTTTCATAAACTGAGAAAGCGTGTGCAGCCCAATCAAGAAAATTTCAAGACTTTTCAAGGAGCTTTTGAGCTATTGCTGTTTTTTTCCAGGATTTTTCAAGCCCCGGAAATGGCCCTGTCAATTTTACAGGACCTGTACAAACCCTGTAATAAATGTCTAGAAACTAAAGGCCACCATTTTGAGCATCTCTGGTGATTGTAGAGTCCAAAGGTAACTTATGTTAATCTTGTAATGTTCGAATAAATTTAGTATTACAATATCTATACAAGTTTTTCCTTTTCTGATGTGTGTATACATTTTTCTCGCAGATTGTATATATGAATAATTATGGCATATTGGGAAATAAATACATTTTCTTAGGAAAATATTCAGAGCGTAAAGTGGCCGCAAGAACTTAAAGATGAAAAAAAAGAAATTTTTTTTAATTCTTGCTGAGCCTCTGTCTACTCCAGTTGATCATACCTTTAGATTGATTTGTTTTTTTTTGGGGGGGGGGTTACAGTTTATCAACATTTTGCAGTTTATTTGAAAGCCAAAAAATATTTTTAGATTTTAAGAAATTTTTGAATATAATGATTTCCTGATACAAATCCTTCTAATTAAACCCTAATTGAGAGGAGAAGAGGTGGATTCATACCTTCTCCCAAGAGTATTGGCACATACACAATTATAATGAACCCAACCAGAATTGGAACTCGGCTCTCCAATTTACAATTCCAAACTTATCCATTACACTACTTGCACATCCAAACTTATAGCAATCACCCATTTAGGTACTGACCAGGCTTGACGTTGCTTAACTTTACTGATTGTCCAGGAACCAATATTTCAGCATGATATGGCTGTAAGCGCCATAATGTTGGAATAAATAACATATGTGGTTGTTTTCAAAGAGTGTTTGGCAAACACTAGTGTTCTGTAGTGGGCCAAGACAGTTGCATCATAAAGTTAGTCTCTATGGCCGTCTTGAGACCAATATGGTAAAAGTTGCTCTGTATCTGCTTCTTGGTGAAAATGAAATTAGCCATCTTTTCACCAGGAGAAAAAGATTATTTTTGTTTGTTTTTTCTTCTTCCTCAAATTGTTAAATAGCACAATACGTATGGTTTATATTGACTTCCTTTGTTGCTCTTCAGAGGGAAATTTTACTGAATACTTGTCAGTGAAGGAGAGAGAGACTTCATATCATTTTGCTACATTTTATTTTATTTTACAAATGTTCACCCAATACAAGAGCCACTCAAAGTAGAGGGCTACTGTGTGGTGTTGTATGATGTAAGGAAAGGCAAGAATGAAGTTCTTGGGGTTATGCAAGAAAGATAATGGCCAACTCTAGACTTGAAAAGGTTAAGATTTAATTAGTGAATAACATTTTACAGTCCAGTTAGAGATGTTAGAAATATAGTGTGATAGTAGACTTTAGAAGAAATCAGAAACCTAATCCTAAACAGGAAACAAAGGATAAACTTCTTCTCCAGTTCAAAAGACATAGGAGGAGTGTGAACTGGATGATAAGCAAACCTATTTACTCCTATTGAGAGAGAAGGAAAGAAAGAAAATAAATGTTTGCTAAGAGGTAAAAAAATAAATTCACTGAAAAACTTCAGGTGGGTGGAAGACAGGAGAATAAAAAGGCACTCAAACCTGCCACATCCTTTCTCTTTTTCGTTTTTTGCAATGACCTTCCCCTAGAGCTTGTGACCCTCTCAAATAAATCATATTTCAGAAATATTATTTATAACTTGTTTATGACCACATAATGTTGAAACACTGGTTCCACCAGAGTTAAGCAACATCAAACCTGGTCAGTATCCAGATGGGTGACTGCTTGTTAATACCAGGTGGATGTGCTAGTGGTGTAAGGGATAAAAGCTCAGAATTGTCAATTGTTGAGCTGAATTCCAATTCCCATTGGGTTCATTATATTCACTTATGCACAAATACCCTTAGCAAAGGTATGAATACACTTCTCCCACAGTTATGGGTTAAATAGTAAAACTTGCATCACTAAACCATTATTATTTTTAAAAAATTTAAAAAAATAAAAAATTAAGAAAATAAAAAAAAAAAAATTAAAATTTAAAAAAAATTAAAAAATTTTTTTTAAATCTAAAAATATTTTTGGGTTTTAAATAATCTACAATGGGTTGATAAAGCTGTAAAAAATGAATCAATCAACCATAGATTACTCCTTTATTTTACCCACACAGTGTTACCAAATCCTCCTGCAAATAGCCAGCAGGTTTTTTTTTTTTACTGTTGGCTTGGTGATTTACATATAAGAAGGAAACTCCAAGAGAAAAATTCCACTTAGCCTGTTTATGACACACACTCCTGGTTTAATGGGTGATGTTGCTAATGCACACTGCGCATATCACTTTTAAAATTCACTTACACTGGCCTGAGGACAATCACACACGTCTTCTGCAACAGTCAAAGAAAACTCTTATAGCATTTTGGTGCTTATGAAGAGGGTGGTTAGCAACCCAAAAGTGTGGAGTGAGAGGGAATTAAGACACATCAAAGAGTAGATAGAGTTTGTCAGTTTTGTTTTTTTACAATAATTTTCACTCTGTATAAGGCCCAAGAGTCATATGAGGTAGAGTAAGAGGCACAGTTTATGATGATACGTGGGGAAGATAACGATCAAAATTAGACTTGAATGGATTAAGATTATAGCAATTGGGGAAACATCCCCTTTGTAGCAGATCATGGGAAGAAAGTTTTTGAGTGGAACTTATATTTTGCCAATGGAATATGAAGTAAATGAGGGTGATTTGCTACAATATGCTTGGTATAGAGAGTCTCAATTCCAGTTGGGTTAATTCTATTCACTTATATACACTTCAGAAAGGTATGAATCCTCCCAGCTATGGATTAATTAATATAACTTCTATCACTAAAATCATTATTATCTCAAAAAAATCTTAAAATCTAAAAATATTTTCTGGCTTTAAATAACCTGCAAAGGGTTGATATGCCATAAGGAAACAATCAAAAAATAGATGGCTATTGATTCTACAAGAAGGTTTATTTGCCCTTTGACTTTTTTTTTTTTTTTAATTCAGCTGAGTGTCTAGCCAACTTCCTCACCAGAAAAGCACACTGATGACCTGACCATGCGGCAGGTAACACTGAGTTACATAGCACCAACAACACACATAGTGTTGTACAAATCCAAAAAGAAAGAAGTATTTTTCAAAGAAGAAAAAAGTTTGCTTACTCGTTTTTGTTGCCGATCTTTTTGTGGTGGTTTTTTGTTTCTTTTTTGTCTCAGGTGTGACTATCTGTGACTGAAAAAAAAAAATAATTAAACTTATATATGTTAGATTTCAGCATTCAATGTTTTCAAAATAACTGATATTAATTTAACAGAAAAATGTTCAGGGATATACATTTATCTGAAATATATACCATGCAAATTTCAGCTTATAATATCTGTATAATGACACCCACATAGTGGAAGATATGATTTTATCTCAATCTGAAGTGTTTCTGTTTTATGTCCAGTCTTTCTGAAATCTTCTAAGTGACATCCACTTTGACCAAAAGGGAATGGAGGAGAAAGGAGTGGATGATGTCTTTTAGAGATCAAGCAACAACAAAACCGGACAGAGAGCGTATCCGGATGTCGGTCTGTATTAAGACATGCTTGGGATTGGAGAGTCAGTTGTGGTCGGCTCTTGGCTGGAGACAGACTATTCCATCATGTGGTTCTTATGCTACTTGTTCGTATTGCCAATCACACATCAGGATGTGTACATGGACAAGGAGTTGGTAGGAGGAGGAGCTGATCTACAAGATCGACATAGCAGAAGTCCTAAGTATCACCTACTTATCCATTCAGGTGAGGAACTGAATGAAACATCTAAATATAATATTGGAAACAGAATTTGCTATCTCATTCCTTGATGTTGCATTTGTTTTTCATCTCTGTTACCTTGAGAGCAAGCAGCAAGTTCTTTCTCAGGTTTCAGTTCACACCAATGTGAACAACGGAACAGAACACAGCATAGGAAATCATTGGCCAGTTGATAGAGTGAGAGTCAGGTAGGTTTACATCTGTTTTTATTAGATATATTTATAATCACTTAGTTGGCATTATGAGATTTTATTTTAAAACTCCAGTGTAAGTACCTCCATTAATTTGCTAAAAATACAGCATAGCATAAAAAAAGGCCTAAAACTTAATAAAAACACAGTTTTATCATCAAAATGTTTGTTATTATTAAGAGAAAGACCAAAGTATTTTTTTAAATTATTTTTATTAAGTTTTTTTAATCCTTTCCAGTCTTTGAAATTTTGGTTAAAAATCTTGTTTTTTTGGTTTTTTAACAGTGGTTAGCCAAAGATTACTTTGGATGTTTCAGCATCTTTTGTCCAGTAAAAAAAAGAAAAAAAAAAAAAAATTTGGAAATTCTTGCAAAAATCAAATAATTGTTGGATTTTAATGAAACTTTCAGAATTAATTCACAAATGAATTACTTTTTTAATCTTTTTTTTATTTTTGTTTTAGAAAATCTTGGTAAAAATATCAGCTAAAAAACACAGTTACTGTATGGTTTAAAAATGCATTTATGTTATTTTAAACTTAAATGCAATAATATTTGTTTTAAATAAGATTAATTATACTTTAAATCAGCAAATATTCCTCAAATAAAGTTTCAGAAAAGTATATTTTATTTTTGGAAGATTTTTAATAAAGAGAATTACATTGTGATGAAAAAGAACTAAAAAAGGACACTAATCAGCTATTTTAGAAAAAAAAACAAAAACACCAATTCCAATCAATATAATTTCTGTTTGAAATACACCAGAGTATTTTGCTTACTGGAGATAGTAAATTTAATCTTTTAGATTTTTTTTTTTTTTTAAACTTAGGTATCGCTAATTAGTGGAGGTACCTACTCTAGTGTTCATCTTAAATATATATAGGTTATTCCAACTCAAATCCCCCAGCAGCCAGATGTGACCCTCTCAGAAAAATATGGGAAAATTTACATGTGTTCCTTGATCAAAATTATTGCTAAATCCCAAGTATTAGATTTGTAGCTTTAATAGATTTAAAATTAAATATCACTTCATTCTTCAAGTCTTATTAAAGAAGGCTTTCAATAAAATTCCGACATTCATTGCTCGAAGGCAACTGCAAGTAGAGATTTGAAACTTGGTGACAATAATTATGGTAAATTGTGGTGTACAAATTGAGTTTTCAAGCCTAAAAACATCTTTCCAAAACTAAGGGTCAACTTATATGGCAGGTATAAAATATAAAGCTTTACAACCAAGTTGTAAACAAGTGGGATAGCACTATTTACATTATTTGGACTATTGTCCTCATCTTTGTCGCCATATTTATTACAACATTTCAGCCATTGTACACTCCAGCCTTTTTCAGGTGGTTGGAATGTCAATCTGAACCCTTTATTTCACTCACTGGTGTAGACTGTTCTAGTTCCACGTGCCATGTTTAATGGACATCAGTTATTAATTATCTCCTGTTAATTTCCCTCTCCAAGTTCTCCACTGCCTTAACCGGGTATCGAACTCACACTTTTTTGGACACATGGCACAGTGGATAAAGGCATTAGTTAGATCCAGTGACAGGACTGATAACTGACATCCATTAAACATGGCATGTGGAACTAGAACAGTCTAATCCAATGAGTGAAATATAGGTTTCAGTTCGATATTCCAACCACCTGAAGAAGGCCGGAGCATACAACAGCCGAAACATTGTAATAAATATGGTGACAAAGATGAGGACAATAGTCCGAATAATGTAAACAGTGTACATAATACCTCATCTCAGAAATATAGACAGACAGTGGGATAGCACTACTAACAATTACTGTACACTACTTACTGTACCACCAGCAGACTAATATATCCCACTAAAAATTGTTTGGTAAACTTATTTGGTAAATTAACACAGGAATTAATATAAAATAATAAAATAGTAATAAAAATTCAATATTCTATTTGTTGTAGAGTAGTTTTCACAGTGGAGGCTTGTATTTCACTAAGTCGGTCCTAAATTAGGTTCGACGTACAAAATGTTAGGAACTTGAAATAATAGTCAATGACGCAGCAATCTAGTTGTGGTGGTTGATACTTCAATGTCCGACATCGATTGACTCGACCAACTCCACTCTGAGCCCTGGCGACTGCTACTACTACTTATATCTGAGAGAGTCTATTTACAATAGAATGGGTATGTTCCCGTATAACACTATTAACCTAGCAAACCTGACAAATTTTAAATGTTTCCTAAGTTATACTGATATAATATACAGTACCTGCAGAATTTGTAAGTGATTTGCTATACAATGCATATAGAAAGACGTTACAATTAATGTCTCAATATACAGGTAAGATGTATGACCTTATGTAGTTTTAGCACGGGTTATTGTATATTGGTTTGGTCTGGTTTACGACATATCAACCTTAATGGGTTATTTAATGCCGACAAAAATTTTATTGCTGGTAATATGTTTTTCTTCAAAAATCTATTTCTGGTAAAATTTTCCTTGAAGAAATCTATAGCTGGTAATATTTTTTTAAAGAATGTATAGCTGTTTGTATTGCTAGAATTTTTTTTTTTTTTTAAAGTATTGCTGATAATAATTTTTCCTTCAAAAATTATTGCTGGTAATATTTTATTTTATTATAAAGTATTTCTGGTATTAAAACCTATTTTTACACAAGTTTGGGTGTCAACTATTTGCCCATAGCTGGGACCCTAACAGGTGCTACCACTCCAGGTCAGGGTGTACCTGGGGACACCAGCAATTAAGAGGTGGTTCCACGCTCCTCAAAACCTCCTGATCAGAGGCTTTGCTGTTGAACATAGTTTATCATCTTACCCAGGATGTGGATGTAGCCAAACTTCATTTACCAGTAGACCAAGATATTACAGTTAATGTCTCAATATACAAGTGGTGTGACCTTATGTAGTTTTGGCACAGATTATTGTATACTGTAGCCTAACTTCATTTACAGGTAATCCTAGGCTTTTGGCCACTGGTACCCTACAGTATGTTTGAGTGTTAACCTATACAGTAAGTATAGACCTAACTCAGAATTTTAAAGTTGATTTGTATGCCACAGTTTATGGTAATATTTACTGTAGATTACTAAAATATTAACAGCCTAGGTGTGACTTGTGTATGTTTATCTTTACAAGGACCTGAAAATGTCCAAAATGCAAAGAAACCCTGTCCATTTTGAAATGTACATCAGATATTTCACTTTCTCACCACCATGATGTGTCTTCTCTTCATCTTTTCTCTATTTTCATGGCAGGTGTTCTAAAGAGCTCTCCTTGATACCTCAACTGCATGAATTTTGAATTTGAATGTACTACTGGTTTGGCTATTAGGTCCCACTGTTTTACTGTTGAAATAGCAAGATGGAACCATCAGTTTTATTTAAATAGTTTTTTTTTTTCTTTCTTTTTTTTGCAATTCTCACCTTTGGAATTCCTTTTTTTCTTGTTTCCCTGCCACCTAGAACCTTCAAAAATTTAAGTGCAACATCAATCACAATTTCCTGTCTTCATAAATCCTGTTATTTTTTTTTTTAAACCTTTCTCCACACTAAAGTCTTCTCATTCTCTTTCACTCCCAGTAACCCTTTGAGTCTTAGTGGAATTGTCACCATCTCCTGGCTTCCTGAAATCTGTTCTTTTATTGTCCTTTCTCCTCATTCTCTTTCACTCCCAGTTACCCTTTGTATCTTAGTGGCATTAACACCTTTCTTTGGGTAAATGATTTAAAAAAAAAAAAAAAAAAAAAAGTATGGCAGATGCTAAGTGATATAATTTAATGCCTAATAAATGAAAGTGAGTAAATGTTATCGTTGTTATAAAATTTTCTAATTTGTATATAAACTTTTATATTTATTAATATAATTATTATATATTATTTTATTTTAATTTGATAAATTATTTATGTATTTATTTATTTTGAATAATAGGTTTTGATTTAACCATTTTCTTTTAATTTTTTACAAATTTTTTTTATGATCATGTATATTAGCTTGGGAAAGGTGTATTTCTTTTATGAAAAAAAAAAAAATCAGGGGTACAGGTTAACATTTTGGCCAAATTTGATAGCAGCACTCGTCAGAACTTTCTGTCTATGTAATAATATATATTATATGCATGGTACTTATTAGAAAGCGCTCAATATCAGAGATAGAGCTAACATATTTGGTTGGATTGATGTGAGTTTGTGACCCTGCGTTTCATGCTTTTGTGATTGTCAGACAAATTCTGACGATCACTAAAGCA